TCAAATCTGGTCAAACTGTGGTCAAATTGTGGTCAAACAATGGTCAAACTACTTATTCAAGAAATATTAGTGTTACTAAATAATTATTTCAGTGTTTTTGAATTTTGGTCAAATCTGGTCAAACTGTGGTCAAACTACTTATTCAAGAAATATTAGTGTTACTAAATAATTATAGTTTTTTAGAACAATAATTTCAAACTCAAACAGTGAAATGTGTGACTTGATGCTCAAGCTAAATTCCTGAGGGTTAATAGGATTGACATCTTACTATTGTCAGGAAAACAACAAGTGCAGACTTGAAAACGAGGAAGAATAGAACCCGGAAGTTAAGCGTGCTCAAGCTGGAGTAGTGAGATGGGTGACCGTCCGGGAAGTTAGATGATTTGGAACGATGAGGAGTGATTAGAGATTAGAGGTTAAATTGAGCAGTGATGAGGGTGATTAGAGATTAGAGGTTAAAATAATTCAGAAATTTGAAAATAAAAAAAATTCAAAAAAAATTAAAAAGAAAATTTTCAAAAAAAAAATCATAAAATTTACTTTAGTACCGGGTGTTACCAACCGGGACTAAAGGTGGACCTCCAGGCAGCGGCCACGTGGACGGCCTTTAGTCCCGGTTCGTGTAAGAACCGGGACTAAAGGGGAGGCTTTAGTAACGACCTTTTAGTCCCGATTCCAGAACCGGGACAATAGGCCCTATTTGTACTAGTGATTGTATGCCTATCACAAATTTGTGCAAGAAATAAAAGAGGAAAGACTAAAGCCTTAGCCTCTAAATTTATATGGAACTTTTTATGCTTTCCTCTGTTCCCATGGTCACTGCTTATCTTTTTGTAGACCCGCTGTTTTTCATCTTCCCGACTCACCCTCGAAGCCAAATTTTATAAGCATATGATTGCATATATTTTCTTGTCTCCAAAATCAATACTAAGCAAGTCAAAAGGAAGGAGGAGCATGCAAGGTAGTTTTACACAAGATGCATGGAGGTAAAGTTACATCGTGCAAGCCAGGACCCCATCTGGTTTTCTTTTGTTTTGCATGCAAGTAGTCTTGGTTTGTTTTGCATGCATCGTAATTTTAGAGCGGATAAACTACTTTTTTTTTTGCAAGGGTAAAATAGTTTTATTCCAGAATCATAGAGTTAGAATTGAGAGGCAAAAGTTCCGTAATACACTGTGGTCCTCTACCTAGCCATACAACAATCATACGACTATAAAATGCCAAACGATCAGCTACCCTATTTTTTTCACGTTTAACTTCCGAAGGAATAAAATCTCTTTCACCGATAAGATGATGTATTTTAGCAACTAGATGTCCATATGCCGAGCGGATAAGACTGCCTCCCCATCCCCCTCCTTCATCGCCAACAGTGTTTTTGAGGAATGTGATGGAACAATGATAGGCATGTTACAATGTTGAATTGCTAATGCCATACCTTGCATTATTGCATGTAATTCAGCCTCCAAAGCGTCATTGCAGTGAAATATGCATCTGTAGGCTGCAAAGATAACGTTACTTACATTACCTTTATCTACTCTATCGCATCTCCCTCTGTCAATTTCTTTGCTCTATCGTCAAACAATTTCTCTGAACAAAGAAATCTTCTGGTAAGCGTTCGGCATTGTTTTTCACATCCCTCTGTCATGCCAAAATTGTTCTTCATATATATGAATTGTTTTTGAATCCTTTTTAACTATGGAGTTTCATTGTAAAAGGGATGGCAAGTTTTGTATGTTTTTTTAGCTAAAATAAGTCATGCACATATATATGAATTTCTTCTGAATCTTGTTAGGAAAATTTCCCATCGAACAAAATCGTTCGGTCCACTAGCTGCCCCATTGAGCTAGAAAGAATCTTTCGGTACGATAGGCTCCAAGATCTGACGTTCGGTAGTTATCAATGTCCTTTATTAAATAGTACTTCGTTGTAGGTCTATATTGAGAAACTACATGTACATGCGGATAAAAAAGATTTTTTTTGGAATTCCCAAGCGTTCTGTTCCATTTTTTAAGAAAAAAAGAACTGAATCTTTATTTTAGCGTGCTGGTTGCAAAGAACCTGGGCTAAAGATAGAGTCAAGTCAAGTCCGTTCCTGATTACTAGGACTATCCATCATCTACTCCGTCTTCTTATCTTATCGGTGAATTATGAGAGGTGATGGAGGTTTATGGCTCCAGCTGCTTGAGCTTACGAGGAGAACCCTTGCTTGCTTGTTCTCGCTCCGCTGGCTCCCAGTTCTGGAGGTCCATCCAAGCTGTTAAAGATGAGATCCGGCTGGGTGCTACCTTCTCAGCTGGCAATGGGAATGGCACCCAGTTCTAGATTGGCCCCTGGCTTCATGGGGAACCGCTCCGTTTTCAATTCCCTAGGCTCTTTGCTATCTGTGTACACCCGAAACTCCTCGTCTCCGAAGCCAGTCTAGATGGGCAGTGGAACATCGCGTTCCGCCGCTCCTTTGGACTGGCTGAAGTGCTTGAGTGGGACGGGTTGAGAAGTAGTCCCTCTCCCACTGTCCATGTCTCCTGACTCTGTTGCCTGGAGTCTCTCTCCTTTAGGAGAGTTCTTCGTGAGTTCTGCTTATCAGGCGATCTGCCTCTGTCCTGTCATTCAATGGTCCCTTCTCTAGAAGGCGCCATTAGCCCTAAAGATCAAGATTTTCGTTTGGCAGCTCCTGCGTGACCGCCTTCCCTCTAGGACAAAGGTTCTTAAGCGGCACGGCCCGGGTGTTGTTACTTGCCCCCTATATCACGTCCCGGAGATAGGAACCCATATTATGTTCTCTTGTGTCGCGGCCAAGCACTTTGGTCCTTTGTGCACGAGGCCCTTCGGCAGACTAGGAGGCCCTGGATTTGGCAGAGTTCCTGCAATCTAGGGCCACCCAAAGGGGACGCAACCACCGCTTGTTCTGGCTTATCTTTGCGGCGTTGACGTGGATCCTTTGGACTACGCGCAATAAAATGGTGATTGAGCGGATCTTTCCGCGACAGACTTCTGACTCGTCCTTCAAATTTCTTGCATTCTTGCAGCACTAGCATCTGCTCGCTAGGCAGCGGGACCGCGACCGTCTGTACGCCATCTTGGGTGCCCTTCTAGCTTCCGCGCGCCGGCTTTCATCTCGCTCATCGGCTTCTTAGCTTGCCACGAGGTGGCCTTTTTTGTTTCTTCTTGCTTTCCTTGGGCGCATTTGTGCTGTTGGCCCCAGCAGGCTCTATGCTAGTGTTTTGAGACTGGTTTGTATGGATGTTTGCTTTATATATAAAGCAGGGCGAAAGCCTAATTCGGATTAGGAATAAAATCTCTTTCACACATAAGATGATGAATTTCAGCAACTAGATGTCCATATGCCGAGCGGATAAGACTGTCCCCCTTCATCGCCAATAGTGCTTCCGAGGAATCTGATTAAACAATGATAGACATGTTACAATGTTGAATTGCTAATGCCATACCGTGCATTATTGCATGTAATTTGGCCTCCAAAATGTCATTGCAGTTAAATATGCATCTGTAGGCTGCAAAGATAACGCTACTTACATTATCTTTATCTATTCTATCTCATCTTCCTCTGTCAATTTCTTTGCTCTATCGTCAAACAATTTCTCTGAACAAAGAAATCTTCCGGTAAGCGTTCGGAATAGTTTTCATATCTCTCTGCCATGCCAAAATTGTTTTCATATATATGAATTATTTTTTAATCCTTTTTAACTACGAGTTTCATTGTAAAAGGGATGACAAGTTTTGAATGTTTTTTTAGCTAAAATAAGTCGTGCGCATATATATGAATTACTTTTGAATCTTGTTTGGGAACTTTTGCATCGAACAAAATCGTTCAGTCCGCTAGCTGCCCCATTGGGCTGGAAAGAATCTTTCGCTACGACAGGCTCTAAGATCTGACGTTCTGTAGTTATCAATGTCCTTTATTAAATAGTACTCCCTCCGTCCGAAAATACTTGTCATCAAAATGGACAAAAAGGGATGTATCTAAAACTAAAATACATCTAGATACATCCTTTTTTATTCATTTTGATGACAAGTATTTCCGGACGGAGGGAGTACTTCGTTGTAGGTCTATAGTAAGAAACTACATGTACATGCGGATAAAAAAGATTTTTTTGGAATTCCCAAGCGTTCTGTTCCATTTTTTAAGAAAAAGAGAACTGAATCTCTATTTTAGCGTGCTGGTTGCAAAGACCTGGGCTAAAGGTAGGGAAAAAAATCCTATACGACCTGGTAGTTGGGAGCGAACGAACGACCCATTCCATCCAACGACATGTGGATCCGCGAATCTTAAAGCATCCACTCCATCTTCTTCCCCAAATCATGTGTTGTAGCGCCACCATATCGATTTGTACTTCCGTTACTCGACGAGCCGCGAGGAAGACTGGGAGAAGCTACCGGAGAGGCTGAGGTCGCACCCGAGGAGGCGTAGCACCATGACGCGGCCGGTGCCGTCGACGGAGATGCCATCACAGCCGCAACAGTACTCTCTACTGGACAACGCAGTGCCAGCGACGGTTTCCCGCGAAGGCTGCCGCATGCCGCCGCCGCCCGCGTTCATTTACGGCGAGAGCAAGGGGGGAAATCGCCGAGAAAAGGAGCATGAGCGGCAGGAATTGACCAACTTTTCCATGGACTTGCCGAGTGCAAGAAGGCAGCACGAAATAGGTGAGCATCAACTCCACGATGTCGCCGGCGAGCCTCCCGCCGCTGCCGACTCACGCCTACATGCCTGTACGGCGGCGCTGCAGCACAGGAACAGATAATGGCCTGTTGGGGAAGAAGATGTGGAGTGGCTGATTTGAGATTCGCGGACGCACGTGTCATTGGATGGAGCGGGTCGTTCCGTTCGATCCGAACGACCCGGTCGGATTGGATAGAGTCAGGTCAAGTCCGTTAGTTCCTGATTACTAGGACTGTCCATCAGTCCATCACCTACTCCGTCTTCTTATCTTTGCTCCCGGACGGCGATCGGCAGCCTCCCAGCCACAGCCAGGCCGGCGACCATGGCGGATGCCACTAGCGCAGGAGCGACGCCTCTCCTACCTGGCCTCCCGGATGACATCGTCATCTGGGAGATCCTCGTCCGCCTGCCGCCCAAAGCCCTTCTCCGCAGCCGCGCCGTCCATCCTTCCTGGCGCCGCATCACCTCCACCCGCGATTTCCTCCTCACCCACCACGCTCGCCAGCCCACCCTCCTCGTCGCCTCCGGTCACGATGACGGCAGCGGTGAATACTACCGAGACATCATTGTCTTCGGCCACCCGGCCGCCGCCGACGTCCAGCTCGAACACTTCACCCAGCTTGATGAGAGGGACTGCAGCGTGGTGGCCTCCTGCGACGGCCTCCTCCTCCTTTCCTATGAGACGGAGGGCGCCTGCTTCTCCATCTGCAACCCGGCCACTCATCAGTGCGCTCCCCTGCCGGTGCCTTGTGACCTCATGATGCCCTTGGGAATGTACCGGCACCACCCCACGGGCGAGTACCGGATACTGATGTACGATAAAAACGAGGAAGAAATTGAGGGTGAAAATGAGGAAATATATGTCCGTGATGGTGGTTGCTGCATCTTCGAATTGGGTTCCGTCCAGCCATCAAGGAACATCGGGTACCCGCCGGAGGCGGAACAAGTGCTTTCACGCTGTGGCCATGGGGCAGTCGTCTTGTTACGTGGCAACATGCATTGGTACCTAGAGCAACGTGAGAATGGAGGCGACATGGTACTGGTATTCGACATCGCAACCGAGTCGTTTCGGCATATGCAGGCTCCGGTTCTTCAAGTTGCTCCAGACTGTCCTCTCTACAATGACCTGTTTGACATGGACGGCACGCTCGGCATGTTCAGTTGCAATGATGATGCGGCTATCGTCGATATCTGGGTGTTGAAGGACTATGAAAATGAGGTCTGGACCTTCAAGTGCAAGATTGAATTGCCGGTTATCGAGATCAAGTTATTGTGTGGAGATGATGATTCCTTGTATGCGGTGGTCATACATGGGGATGGTGAGTTGCTCGTGCTAGTCCAGTTTGCTGGATGGCTGCTTCAGGTTGACATGGAAGGTAAGTTGGTCGGCAGTTTTCATCACGACAAAGTCATTGCTGGTCAATTGCAGCTGAAGCAAACTCTTGTTCCACACACTTTCTTTCAGACACTAGAATAGTATGTAGTCATTTATGTTGTCTTTCATCTAAAGTTGTTGAGTGAGCTGGTGCTTCCTAATCTCTAGATGTTTGTATTCCTCTAGAGCTGCAATGCGTACGAATGGGATCCAGTATGAGCCTACTAGCATCTTTGTTGATGCAAATAAAGTTATGATCAATAAGCTCTCACTATTTTGCGGTTTCGTGCAATCTATACATGTTTTGACACCCTTCCATGTTGAAGAAAGTGACTGTTGTCCATGTTGATTCTAAAGTTATCAGGCTCTTTTGATGTGCGTTGAAATATGTGCAAACTATGCTACATGATGTTTCTTGAACTGAAGAATTATTTTGCTCTTTACAGTATACTTAGTACAACCTTTGCCTCTTCCATAAGTTCTCTTTTGTTCAACCTTTGAGTGAGCTGGTCTTCACAGTATACTTAGTACTACTTACTAATCTGCTTGCCTTACTAATCTACTGAGTAATTTCTTGAACTGAAGAACTGATTTTGCCTTTTTATCAAGGCTTTTTTTCCCCGAGAGATCATCTATGGTGCTCTCAATACTGACTTACTTCATAGTATTTAGCAATATTGTTAGACAGGAGACTCGGTCCACCAAGTCTCCCCACGATCTGCGCACGACTAGGCGCACGTTCTCCGTTACGTTGGGCGTGGCCCTCCTATATGTACCCTGCCTTGTACTATGAATGAATTAAGGAAAATACTCTGTTAGTTTTCATGGTATTAGTTACCCCCACGATCCTCTCCTAAACGCCAGCGCCATGGCCAACCCCGGCGCCGGCAATCCTTCCCAGCCCGCGGCCTGCAATCAAACCAGCCCGGCGACCACTACTACCCTCACCATCCCCTCCCTCTCCTTTAGGGACACCATCACCGACGTGACCCCCTTCATCCCCATTGTTCTCGACCTTCACCGCCGGAACTACTATCACTGGCGCCATCTGTTCGAGATCCACCTTGGCCGCTGCTCTCTCCTCCATCATCTCTCCGATACTCACCTCCGGAGCCTCACAATCCACGTTGGCTCAAAGATGATCTCGCCATCATCCAATGACTCTACACGCGCATCTCCACCGAGCTCTTCAACCTCGTCGTCAAGGACGGCGCGACGGCGTGCGATATCTGGGTGGAGCTCCGTCGTCTTTTTCAAGACAATCGGGACGCTCGCATCTCTGCCCTCAACACAGAGCTGCGCACGGTCACCCAGGGTGATCGCCCCATCGGCGTCTTCTGCCAGCAGATCAAGGCTATCGGCGACGAACTCCGCGAGCTTGGAGAAACGGTTGCTGATCGTGCTCTTCTTCACGCCCTCATGGGTGGCCTAGACGAGCGGTTCGCCCAACAGGCGTCCCTGATTCCGCTTCTCCGACCTCTGCCGACCCTGTCCGAGGCCCGTTCGATGCTGCAGCTCGAGGAGCAGACTCAGGCCCGCAAGACTGGTGCCCCGCGCCTCTTCCACACCACGGCACGCTCCGCCCCACCACCAGTGGCTCCTTCGTCCGTGCCGCTTGCCACGCAACCGCCGCCAGGATGGCGCCTGAGGGAGTCCTGGACTAGGGGGTGTCCGAATAGCCGGACTATCATCATCGGCCGGACTCCAAGACTATGAAGATACAAGATTGAAGACTTCGTCTCGTGTCCGGATGGGACTTTCCTTGGCGTGGAAGGCAAGCTTGGCGATACGGATATGTAGATCTCCTACCATTGTAACCGACTCTGTGTAACCCTAGCCCTCTCCGGTGTCTATATAAACCGGAGGGTTTTAGTCCGTAGGACACACAACCATTACAACAATCATACCATAGGCTAGCTTCTAGGGTTTAGCCTCCTTGATCTCGTGGTAGATCCACTCTTGTACTACCCATATCATCAATATCAATCAAGCAGGAGTAGGGTTTTACCTCCATCGAGAGGGCCCGAACCTGGGTAAAAACATCGTGTCCCTTGTCTCCTGTTACCATCCGCCTAGACGCACAGTTCGGGACCCCCTACCCGAGATCCGTCGGTTTTGACACCGACATTGGTGCTTTCATTGAGAGTTCCTCTGTGCCGTCGCGATCAGGAAGGATGCCTCTTCCCGTCTTTAAAGACGGAACCATCGCCAAAGGAGCTTTGGTCGCCGGCCAAACTATCCGGCTAGGTGGTTTTCTTATGGCCGCCTGTTCGGCCACCGCTTCAACGACGACCTCTCGGGTCATCAAAAGCAATCTTCACGTCAACTTGGAATTCGCCGAGCAGCTGGATCCAATAGAGCTCTCGTCCGTAAACGAGCTCTTGGATCGCATCGCCGCCCTGAGAGTCGCTACAGACTACAATCAGATTGGGCTTAAAACCGATCTGAGAGAGATTAACTCTCCCCAGGTTACCCACCACGTTGCGGTGGCAGAGGAACGACGCGGTGACTCTTCTCCTATATTGAAAACTAGTCATGTCCGGACTCCCGAACCCTCCATGCCAGATTCCCGCGGAGGGACGGACTTCGATCGAGCACTGAACCTAAAGTCAGGCATCGGACCGGACTCGTTGGACAACGTCCAGCAATCCAAACTTCCAAATTCGGAAACTTTCCGGCCCTTGAGCCTCGAGATGGGTAGGGCTCCGGACTTAATTCCACCCACCCACCCAGACATATGCGATCTATCTCAAATCCGGCAAGAGCCCGCCGAAACAGTACATCATTACTGGGCCAGATTCCTCCTGGTTATGGACAGGATAAAGGACTGCCGTGAGGAAAACGCAATTTCAATTTTCTGCAATAATTGCACGGACGAGGGAATCTTGAACGCTGTCAGTCATCGCGAAATTACACGCTTCGCCGATCTGGCATCCATAGTACGAAAGTACTGTGCGATGGAGAGTTTCCGGAAAACCGAAACTAAGTTTTGGGACAATCCGGCCCCGAATACAGCCCTAGTCCGAAACAAAAGGGTGCATCACACTCAGGCACCAGGTACAAAAACCAAAAAGCAAAAACCCCATAAAGGGCACGGAACCGTACTGGAGGGTTGGCTCAGTGGACCCTGTAAAATTCACAGTACAGAAGGTGCCACTCCAACACATAGCCTTCGAGCATGCTGGATATTGCGGCAGGTGGCCAAAAGTGGCGAAGAGCTTCTAGCCCCGGAGAGCCACTCCAACAATACCAGTATGGTGTCAACAGTCTTCGAGACCTTCGCATCAAATAATATGCGGAAACGAACAATCTGCAGCCTCGCCGAAGTCTACCAAGTGCAACAACAAATCCATGGAGCGACACGGCCATCACCTTCAACGCCAGCGACGAACCTAAATTCCGAACAGCCCGAGCACCAGTCGCATTGGTCCTCAGTCCAATAGTGGACGGCTTTCGTCTTACCAAAGTACTCATGGATGGCGGCAGCGGATTAAACCTCATCTACGAGGAAACTCTTCAAAAAATGGAAATAGACTGGAGCCGCATTGAGCGAAGCAGCACAACCTTTAGAGGAATAATCCCTAGTCGGGAAGCGCGCTGCACTGGAAAAATCAAACTTGATGTGGTGTTCGGCTCGCCGGACAATTACAGGTCCGAAGAGGTCACGTTCCAAGTGGCCCCGTTCAGCAGCGGATACCACGCTATATTAGGACGGGAGGCATTCACAATTTTTCAAGCCATACCCCATTACGGGTACATGAAGCTTAAGATGCCCGGGCCCGGCGGAATAATCACTCTCGTTAGTGATCCGGACACAGCACTCCGCGCCGAAAACAAGACAGCCGCATTAGCCCTGGAGGCACTATCCGAAGCCCTAGCTGCAGAGGAACTCACTGCGCTGCGCTCTACGGTGAATAGGGATGATGTGATACTCGATAAGAGATCCAAGTCGACCTCCTTTAAACCAGCTGACAAAATAGTCAAATTTCAGGTCCATCCAACGGACCCAACAAAGACGGCCTCCATCGGGGCACAGTTGAACCCTGATGTAGACGCCGCACTACGAGAATTCCTTCGGGAAAATTGGGACATCTTTGCCTGGCACCCTTCAGATATGCCAGGAATCCCACGCAGATTGGCAGAACACAGCCTAAACGTCCTAAAAGGATTCAAGCCAGTAAAACAGGCTCTTCGGCGATTTTCCGAGCCCAAAAGACAGGCAATGGGGGAAGAGCTAGCCAAACTACTAGAAGCCGGATTCATCAGAGACATCAAACATCCGGACTGGCTAGCAAACCTGGTAATGATACCAAAGAAGGATAAATCCTGGCGCCTATGTGTCGATTTTAAAGACCTCAACAAGGCCTGCCCAAAGGATGCCTTCCCTCTTCCCCGCATCGACCAAATAATCGATGCTACTGCAGGGCACGATTCATTGTGCTTCCTTGACGCATACTCCGGCTACCATCAAATTAAGATGGCGGAGGCAGACCAAGCCGCAACGGCATTCATTACTCCATATGGACCATTCTGCTTCAACACGATGCCCTTCGGACTCAAAAACGCCGGCGCAACATATCAGCGCATGATTCAGACATGTCTGGCTACCCAGATCGGCAAAACAGTAGAGGCATACGTAGACGGCGTAGTCGTCAAAACCAAACACGTCGAAACCCTGGTAGACGATTTGAGGCTCACATTCGACAACCTCCGTGCATATGACATCAAGCTAAATCCGGAAAAATGTGTTTTCGGCGTACCAGCCGGAAAGCTCCTGGGCTTCATCGTATCCAGTAGAGGAATTGAAGCAAACCCAGCCAAGATCCGAGCTCTGTCACAGCTGGATATTCCAAAAGACCTCAAACAAATACAAAAATTGACTGGAATGTGTGGCGGCTTTAAGCCGCTTCATCTCCCGTTTGGGGGAAAAGGCATTGCCCCTCTATCGCCTCCTCAGGCGCACCGAACACTTCGAGTGGACGGATGCTGCCACTGCCGGACTCGAAGAAATAAAAGCCATATTGGCAACAAATCCGGTCCTGGCTGCGCCTAACCTGGGCGAACCAATGTTGTTATATATCGCGGCAACACATCAAGTTGTA